TATTATTATTATTATTATTATTATTATTATTAGTTGCCCTCTTGTTGTGGTCTTCACCATGATGCACCGGTAACAACATTCTGACTGACACCCTGTCCACCCTTTAACTCCATCACGACTATGTTATAACTACATCATGATAACATTTTGAGTGAAATCCTAACTACTTCATGACTACATCTGGCTATATAATATCCAACTTGCCTATTGACTGTTTTGTGTCTTTCTTCTCGGTCCAGCTTGTGCCCCTGCGGCGTGCAAAGCCACAGGTCGGGGCCTCCAGCCTACAGGTCTAAGGATCAAACAGGTGGGAGACTTCAGGGTGGACACCAGGAAGGCTGGCAGTGGGGACCTGAAGGTCAAGGTCACAGGTCCTGGTATGTCCTCAAACTGTGACACGTGAACATAGTTAGTGCTCACTTGAAAAACCAAAAAAGTGATGAGGGTTAACCAAACCACAACCCCTAACCCTGTGTTCATGTTCAGATGGTGTGGACCGGCCACTGACACCCGTCTCCTGTCAAGATGGCGTGTTTTCCTATCAGTTCACTCCAAACGTTCCTGGAAAACACAACGTGGGCATCACTTGGGGCAGCGGGCACATTCCTAAGAGGTGAGTCATGTATCCTTGTAATGTTATGTTTTAAAAGAACACTGTTCCTCACAGACCTGTTAGGCTTAGCATTAGGGTTAGGATTAGTTACTCAGGATTACTTACCCCTAACCCTAACTGTTGATCCAGTAACCCGGTTGGGAACCTTTTTAGCAAAGAGAGCCAAAAAAATGCACATATTTTTAAATATATTTCCGTAAGGGGCAATCAATTTTTTTTTTCCCCCTCTGGATACAACTATAAATGTGTGAATTTTTAAACAAGACCAATTTGACAGTAAATTAAATCTCGGAATTATTAAAACAGTTATTTAAAAAGTAATAACGTTATACCATACAATACATAAAATACTCTCTTTCCATTAATGCGAATTGTGGTGCTCCATGGTTTTGATGCGATTAGTAGCATAATAGATATAATGCATGGATTAAAATGTGTAACGGGGCTACAAATATAAGGTTCTGCTCGCCATACAAAACAGTTTATTACACACCACATAAGAAAAATCCTAATTTATAGTACGGTCATTAAATGCAACACCCATGCAGATTAGAGTCGTAAACTCAGGGGAGCAGTAGTTTCCTCTGCTGTTCTTATGGTAGGTACACGTCAGGAGGTCCGTCATTAATTCATTTTATTATTTTAATTTTATCATTAACTTTACTCTTAATTATTTGATATTTTCAGCTCCAAAATGGACTGACTTTGTTTTCACTTTTCATGCCAGAAATAAAAGATGTACCAAGCCGATGATTTAATTATTTAATACAATGCAAAATACAGAATTTTTTTTTTTTTAAAGATTAATTTAACTCTATGATTTCTGTCATGTTTTGCTTGAATATCAGCTGAATTATTTATTACTTATAGTGTTAAGAAGTACCAGCTAAGATATATCTGAGAGCCAGATGCATTTATCAAAAGAGCCACATCTGGCCCGTGAGCCATAGGTTCCCGACCCCTGCTTTAACACAACGTATCTCACACATTATTTAAGCACAGCTAAGACTTGAAATATCATCTAATCTAGTGGAGGCTTCAAATTCAGGTCAGCGAACGGCTCAGGACAGTCAGTCCACCACTGACAGTCTGAATGACACAACAGTCAGATGGATTGTCCGGGACTGTAGCCTGACTCGAGGACGTCAAACTGTACTGTAGTTTAGAAAGAAGCTCGCCACGCGTTATGATGAACACCGTCATGATGAACAGTACTGACTGAAAAACATCAACTCTATGAAGAGACATTTTCACTCCGACTGTTGGAGATTTTTATGTGCATTTGTCCAGATTCATAATCCCACCATTTGGATCAGTCACAGTGTGGAAGGGCTTTGTTCTCACTAAAGTCTCTCTCTCTGTCTCTCTCTGTCTCTCTCTCTCTGTCTCTGTCTCTGTCTCAGTCCATTTGAGGTGAATGTGAGCCCAGAGCCGGGACCTCAGCAGATCCGGGCCTGGGGACCTGGTCTGGAAGAAGGCATTGTGGGTAAAGCTGCCACCTTTGTGGTGGAGTCCATAGGTACCAACGTTGGAGTCCTGGGTGAGTCGGCCTGTTCTGAACCCCAATTTAGAATAAACAGTTCAGATAGGTTCTCAGACTAGGTCTCAAATAGTCCAAAACTAATAACAAGTGGTTTTGGATCAGGTTAAAATTACAAAAATGAATTTGTTCAACTAGTTCCACCCTGGACTAAGATGAGAATCTGCTGGTTTAGGTTTTGCCATTGAGGGACCGTCTCAGGCAAAGATTGAGTGTGAGGACCGGAACGATGGGTCATGCGATGTGCTCTACTGGCCCACAAAACCAGGCGAATATGCCGTCCATGTGACCTGTGATGAGGAGGACATTGAACACAGTCCTTTTATGGCCTGCATTGTCCCAGATACCAACAGCAGCAACCCTGAAAAGGTCAGCCATGGTTTGATGTATGAAAATACACGTCTTATGTTTTAACTGTGTCCTATGTATGTCACAACTGTGTCCTAAATATGTCCCTACTGTGTCCTAAATGTGTCCCTACTGTGTCCTAAATATGTCCCTAGTGTGTCCTAAACATGTCAAAACTATGTCCCTACTGTGTCCTAAATACAGTATGTCCCTACTGTGTCCTAACTATGTCCCCACTGTGTCCTAAATATGTCCCTACTGTGTCCTAAATACAGTATGTACTGTGTCCTAAATATGTCCCTATCCCTACTGTGTCCTAAATGTGTCCCAACTGTCTCCTAAATATGACCCCTTTTGTCTCCTACATATGTCCCTACTGTGTACTAAATATGTCACAACTATGTCCTAAATATGTCCCTACTGTGTCCTAAATACAGTATGTCCCTACTGTGTCCTAAATATGTCCCTACTGTGTCCTAAATACAGTATGCCCCAACTGTCTTCTAAATATGTCCCCTTTGTCTCTTAAATATGTCCCTACTGTTTACTAAATATGTCACAACTATGTCCTAAATATGTCCCTACTGTGTCCTAAATATGTC